CTCTTGCGCAAATACGTTTAACGGAAAAACTTTTCCGTTAAAAGTATTTGCGCAAAATCATGCCAGTCTAGACGCAGCCCCAGTGTTTAACCACCCTGACAGTTAAGAAGTTTTTCCTACTGTCCAACCTAAACTTCCCTTGCTGCAGTTTAAGCCCGTTGCTTCTTGTCCTATCCTCAGAGGCCAAGGAGAACAATTTTTCTCTCTCCTCCTTGTGACACCCTTTTAGATACCTGAGATCTGGTATCATGTCCTCCTTCAGTCTTCGCCTTTCCAAACTAAACAAGCCCAATTCTTTCAGTCTTCCTTCATAGCTCATGTTCTCTAGACATTTCATCATTTTTGTTGCTCTTCTCTGGACTCTCTCCAACTTCTCCACAGCTTTCCTGAAATGTGGTGCCCAGAACTGGACACAATACTCCCATCGAGGCCTAACCAGCACAGAGTAGAGTGGAAGAATGACTTCTCGTGTCTTGCTCACAACACTCCTGTCAATGCCTCCCAGAATCATGTTTGCTTTTTTGCAACAGTGTCCCATGGTTGACTCCTATTTAGATTGTGGCCCACTATGACCCCTAGATCCTCTCTCCTACTCTGTCCTTCACCTATGATGAAATTTTAGGTACATCCTTAACTTTCCCATGAGTAAAATGGGATTTGATACAAGGTGCTTTGAAGTCTGTTGATGAAATGCATGCTGTCATTAAGCATTCGCACGGCTGAAGACATATACTTGGGGTCAAAAATACTCAACACTGCTGCATTTCTCTGCTACTGCTTTTTTCCATGACAAGAACCCAGTTTTACTGAGCTCCGAATGCTGAAGATCTCTGACATGCTGATGACCGGCTTTGTCCTTCTGTTCATCATTTGCAGTTGAAACTAACAAAGTTTCCTGCTTATATCACAACAGAGACATTTTTAATTCCTTTTATTCCAAGTGGGGCCAATAGGTCTTCTCTAGTCCAGAGATGAAAGACTCCCCAGAGTTTCCTTTCCAACCAGATGCCATGCTGTTGATTGGTCATTCATGAGTCCAGTAGTTGGGATTGGTCCTGCCTAGAGCAGGGGGCTGGACTTGATGACCTTCTGAGGTCTCTTCCAGCTCTATGGTTCTATGAGTCTATGACAATGATGAAAGTCAGTGCAAAGATGCTTTGGCTTAACTGGGTGTCACCTGGAGGATACGCCTCTTTCTGAGTTCATCTTAACTTTAGGAAGACACCTTCAGGTTTAAGGTGCTTTCTGAAGCACGTGTTAGTCTAAAATGTGTGTGCGCATGCGTGCATGCCTGTGTTCCTTACCCCACGTTTCAGTGTGTGTTTCACAAGTGATGGGATCTTTCTGTGATTGGCTGGCGAGCATGATAAAACTCCCACAGATGGAACATGACCCTTCTGCCCCTCCTTCTTTTGGGGAGAAAAGGGGCAGTGAGAAATACTCCCAGGCTCCTCCATTCAAAAATAACTGTAATCGAAACTCTCCCCGCTTCTGTTATAAAGCAGATTGTGTAGGAGAGCTCACAGAAGAAAAAAACGCACAGGAACGTAAAATCCCTCGTCCAAGCGCACAAGTGAGGCTGAACTGTGTACATTATGGCTTCTTCTGGTCCATTCAGTACTTACATTTCCCTTGTCCCTTCCTCACCTAACCTGACACATACCAAGCTTCAGCGTACATGCCTGATTTACACGTCAGGGACACTAAGGTGGAGAGGCCGAGGTAGGGAAATCTCTAGCATTTTGTTCTCATCATGGTTAACCTTGCCATCAGCCTAGGGTTTAATGCAAGCTAGTAAACTGATCCTCTAATGATCCCTGTTCAGACTCCATTCGCTCTTGGCTGGCTCTTTCCAAGAACCCGGCATCCCTCGCTTCATTCTTAACCACCATCCAAACCATAATTGAACCAGACAGAGTACTTCTGCCCCTGAAGCATCCGCAACTCAATAGACAAGTCTGATCTTCGTGATGGCTACATCTGAGGCTATGACCCGCCCCTGGAGGAAGCCTGAGTATTTTTGCTTCAAGTGGGTTGGTGACGTTATCTCCTTCCTTAATTTGAGCTTTCATAGTTGGGTTACAACATGGCAACTACATTCCTTCCCGCCATGTTTGCTTGGTGCTGTCCCTATAGCAACCAGGCAGACTGCAGCTCAGGGCTAGGGCAGCGACGGTACGAAAGGGATGAGCCCTAACCCTTCCCCTCAGGGTACGTCTAAACTACACCCCTCTGTCGGCAGAGGGGTGTAAATTAAACACATCAATGGTGTAAATGAAGCCGGGATTTAAATATCCCGCGATTCATTTGCATAATGGCGGATGCTGTTTTTTTTTTTTTAAATGGGGCATTTCTGTCCTCAAAAAATGAGGAGTACAGGATGTTTCGACACAGGGCATTTCTGTCAAAAATGCCCCGTCTAAACTGCCAAGTTTTTTTTAAAAGCTCTGTTTCGAAAAAAGTGGCGGCTGCCATTATGCAAATGAAGCACAGGATATTTAAATCTCAGCTTCATTTGTACTTTTGATGTGTCTAGTTTACATCCCTCTGCCGACAGTGGAGTGTAGTTTATATGTACAGAGTGCCACAATCTTTAAATTTGGACAATCTCACACTTGGGCCACCTTTGGACAATCATCCTGGCACTCTTCCAACAATCTGCCAATAACTACGCCATTTGAATACAGATGTCACCAATGTCTAGTATCATTGTTCCTCATGCCAACCACAGCTGGACTGGAGTCGAGTGTTCAGAGGACAGCTGAAGGGTGGAGGTGATATGACCTTAGGTCACAAAGACCTTTGAAGGGACTACATGCTTTTTGAAGATGATAGGATGAGGTGCAATGGCTGGAAGTTAAGGAAGGAGAAGTTCAAACTGAACGCTAGGACAACTATCTCAATGCTAATACAGGTTGAACCTCGCTAGTCTGGTTCTCTGTGGTCTGGCAACATCCAAGGTCCGGCATGATTTCAGTTAGCCTGCTAATACAGGTTGAACCTCGCTAGTCTGGTTCTCTGTGGTCTGGCAACATCCAAGGTCCGGCATGATTTCAGTTAGCCTAATGTCCACTTATCATGGGTGTAGCCAAATTTCCTGCAGTCCCATAAAGTTTGTTTACAGCCTCCAATCCTGGCTCTCAGTGTTCTGTGCTCTTGTTTAGTTCTAATTTACCCCTAAATGTCTTCTAAGGCTGTGTCTACACTGCGGCGCTATTTCGGGATACCGCTGGTATCCCGAAATAGCTATTCCATGGGTTTGAGTGTGCCTATTATTTCAAAATATAACAGGCTGACCATGCCAATGTCCCTGTAAACCTCATTCCAGGAGTAAGGGACATTTCGGAATAGCGATTTATGTAAAAATTAGTGCGGTGTAGACATTTGAAATAAGCTACTTCAAAATAACATCGAAATAAGACACGCAATTTGCGTAGCTCAGTGTAGACACACCCTAAGAGCCAACTAGGCAGTGGAAGTGTTGGTGATGCTGCTAGACCATTTTGGCCTCCTCTGGTCTGGTAAATTCTCTGGTTTGACACCAATCAGGTCCCGAGGGTGCCAGACTAGAGAGGTTCAGCCTATAGATACTGGACAGTAGCTTTGATTCCCAGGAAAAATGGTTGATGCAACATATGTCAAGATAGGAAGAAACCAGAAGTGGGAGAACATGTGACATTATCCTACAGAGAGCCGGTCCTAGAGGAGATTTAACTGCTTGAGCACAGCAAACTCTGTGGCCCTTAAAGTCTATAGGGGTATGTCTACACTACCACCCTAGTTCGAACTAGGGTGGTTAATGTAGTCATACGAACTTGCAAATGAAGCCTGGGATTTGAATTTCCCGGGCTTCATTTGCATGTTGCCGGGTGCCACCATTTTTAAATGTCCGCTAGTGCGGACTCCGTGCCCGCGGCTACACGCGGCACGAACTAGATAGTTCGGACTAGAATTCCTTTCCGAACTATTGTTACACCTCGTTCCACGAGAAGTAACGATAGTTCGGAAAAGGAATCCTAGTCCAAACTATCTAGTTCGTGCCGCGTGTAGCCGCGGGCACAGAGTCCGCACTAGCGGACATTTAAAAATGGCGGCACCCGGCAACATGCAAATGAAGCCCGGGAAATTCAAATCCCAGGCTTCATTTGCAAGTTCGTATGACTACATTAACCACCCTAGTTCGAACTAGGGTGGTAGTGTAGACATACCCTAGGTGAAATTCTGCAATCTTAAACTCCACTGGGAAGCCAGCGGGCGTTTTACCTACAAAGAACAGCAGGATTTCTCCCTGCACCTCTCTGTTTACCACCAGTCCATGACTAACCCTCATATGCCACACACCCTTGGTACAAGAGATGGAAAAGGGCCTTTAAAAAGCAGACATGACTTGAGTTTACACTTTTTTTATTAGAAATAAGACACATTCATTTGTGCTCTGAAAACTGTACAGAAAAAACTGATGAACACAGAAATAAGGGACATGGAAATGGGAGGGGCAGGGGAGGGTGAAGAGAAACCAGAATTAACCAGAGAAACTGAGCAGAAAAAGTAGAATATCAACAGTTATTAAACAAACATTTATTTCTTCAATTACATAACACTGTTAATGTCCTGCAGCTTGACTGGAATGAGAGGCGTAGATGGGAAAGGGCTGGAAGAAAGAGGGGAGATTGGTTGGGCAGGGAAGGGCAAAAAGAATTAAAACACAGTAGAAAGATATTTGTATGCTAAAATTCATTATGTGTAATTATAATAATTACAATATTATACAACCCGGCATTTATGGGAGGCCTTTGTGCTTTCCTGTTTCATAGAATAATCTAAAATCTGACAGTTACATCACAGTTTTTATAAGTATCTTTTTTTTTTACTATTTGGATTTTCTAATTTTTTAAAATTTTATTTTATTTTTAATATTATACAGCTAATGACAAGATACGTGCCATTATACTTAAAAAAATAAACCATGTAGCCTGAAAGTAAATTTTAAAAAAAAGCAACAGCTCTTGGCGGGGGAGCACAATTTGATTTCATTGATTGTTTTAAATGTTATTCCTGTCGTTAGCTTTTTCCTAAAAAAAGAAACACACACACGCGCGCACACACACACACACACACACACACACACACACGCATAAATCAAACCCTGATCTAGATTAGCTGCTGTTTTGGCTCAATGTGATTTTTCACAAATAGATGGTTAGCGATAGCCATTTTAGAGCTGGTGGAAATTGGTCAGAATTGGAATGAACATTTTTGGTGAAACAAGTATGGTGGAAAAAGAAGCGGTGAAAATTGGGTTATGTAAGAAATTCTGATTAAAGTCTTTCATAAAAAATGACAATTGATCATGTTAAAATACTGATGGAAATTATTTTGCTTAAAAATTTTGGACTTTTGGGGGGGACAAAATGTTTTGTGCAAACAACACTGGGCTTTTTCGTGTGTAAAAATGCAAATTAACGTTTTCATGAAAAAATTGAGGAAAATTTGTCATAAAAAACACCCCAACATTGAAGCCCAATTTTTGATGAAAAAATATCCCCAATTTTGTGGCCAGCTCTACCCACGTCCTTTTCTTCCACTAGTACCAGAAACCTGGTCTCTAGCTCTGTGAAATAGTGAAAGCAGGGTAGGGTGTAAGGAAAATAACCAGCCATAAAACAGAACATTCCAACCTACTGTACACAAGGGCCCGTGCGTTTCTCACCATCCTATTTTTTCCACAAGTGACTCCCACTCAACCTTGGGGCATTGGCATCCTTGCCCCTCAGGTGCACGGAACCAAGCTACAGAAAGATATTTGAAATGACAGGAGCCAAAGAAAGGAAAGGTCTTGGGTTTCAAGTTCTGTTTTTATTGAAGAAAAGAAAAGAAGAAGAAAAAATAGATTTTTTTTTCCAAGTGTATGTTACTCATTTATCAGTTCGTCTCAATGTCCTACAGCAATATTCTCCATGTCTTGAATGTCTCCAAGGTCATGGAAGCAGGTCATTGTGGCTTCCAGGGGAGGTGGCTGGAAATACGTCGAATCTCAAAACAAAACAAAACAAAACAAAAAAAGGGAAAAGACAATGAGGCCATCAGAACCTTTGTGCAAGGTTCGCGCTGAGTTTATCGCTTTGTTTTTAACAGTCAATTAAATGACCTACATTCTTTTTGTTGGTTGTGAAACGTCTCAATCTGGAGACTGGATGAATGGGTTTGTTGTTGATTTAAGAGACAGTCTCTTCCCACTCTGCGTGTCTCGCTCTTCAGAGAGTTCAGCAAGTCCTCAGCAGAGGAATGGGGAGAAAAAACCCAACATGCTTCTCTCAGTAGCCATATGCTACAACCAATATCTCTGGCATTTCCCCTAGAACATCCTCTGAGTTGGCTTGTGTCGGTCCATAGCTGAGGACCTAATTTTTCAGATTGGCGTGGGGTGGTCTTCTCAACCACAAGATGCAACAGCTTGGTAGCTCCAATTCTCTTCTTCTCCAAGATGCTGGGCCGGTGGGGGGAGAGGGGGGCGGACTGAAGTAAGCAGAATGGTTCTTTCCCCCTCCCATCATAGGCCAGCCAATACTTAGCTTTCCCCCAAAGTCCTTGGCCAGCTAGCATCCTGGCTGGTTTCCCCCTGAATTAATCCCTGTTCATTGTTTCCTGAAGATAACCCCACTCCTCTTGGCCCTTCTGCTGCCATATTTGCTCCCAGTGTCCTTTTGTAGCTCCCAGTTCCAGAGCAGGAAGACTCAACGTATCTGGCAATGGCTCCCCATCATCCTCTCACCACTAAAGTGTCGTGTTGGTTTTGTTCCCCACCCTCCCCCTCCCATTCTCCCTCCATTAATTTTCCAGGCTCGTGTCCTCTTTGGGCCCACCCAGGGAAGATCGCGTTGTTCTGTACCTACCGCTACTAAGTTCTATAAAGTAATATTCCCCTCTCTGCTGAGAACGATACAAAAGTTACTTCTTTTTTTACCAAAGGTTTCAAAAGAAACCAAACACTCTTCCTCATTCGCTTCCGATGGAATTTAATCCGCTTTTTAAAAATGTGTTTGTTTTTCTGGAAAAAAAGTCCCCTTTTTTCTTTCCTCTCAGACCTCCGTCTGAAGGTCTATAATGTCTTGTCCCACCAGAGGTATGGTGGCACCAGTTTTCTCCCACTCTACAGTTTTTAGTTCTAAGGGAGATTGTGGTAAAGGTTCCATGTCCTTTTTAACCCATGATGGTGGTGACTGGACCTTCCGGATTCCTTCCCAGGGTCTCTTGTTTGGTGTCTGCTGTTTTTCTTGCTAAAAAGCAAAGGAGAGAAAAACAGAACGAAATTACTGCCACTCTTGCAAACACCGTTCTTCAACCTGCTAGACTTCTTCTTTTGACCTTTTATTTTAAAAATAGGGTTGGGTGAAGATTTTCTATTACAAATCTTTCTTGAAAGAAAATTAGTTTTTCAAATAAACAGATTTTGATTTTTGTGTGTGACAAGTGGCTGCTGGCCATGGAAAATGTCAGTTTTTCCACAAAATGCTGAACCCTAAACATTTCAGCTTTCAGACCAATAATTTCAATATTTGAATTCCCATGAAACAAAATCCAACATTTCCATGGAAGTTTTAGAAGAATGTTCTTTAGTTTAATCTTTCATAGAAATTTGTTGCTTAAAATCATTTGTCACCAGCTATATTTATCCTTATCCTTTCATCTATATCTATAGATACACCCAGAAAATGTCTCATAAATGTAATTGCTTCTTTTACTAACACAAAATCAATACGAGTTTCACTGATTTCAACTGACCCGTCAGAGTGAAAGAAGCTATTTGCATATGTATTTGCATGTATATGCAACCACACTTAAGTTACGGCCCTCGGCATGTGCTGTGAGTATCATTGAGGCTCCCGGGACTTCCAAAATTGAGCAGCCCTGCTTTATATGGCTTCGAAAATCCAGCCAGAATGTATTCTCCTCCCTCTAATTGCCTTCAATTTGGGGGCCTCTCTCTGCAGAGATGTTCAAAAGAGAGGCTCAAAGTGGCTGGTTGTTTTTTGGAACTGGTCTGAGAGGTATCTAACTCAGACTGCAGCTCTTAGCCGCTCTGATCCTCCTTGGTACGTCTCAGTTCATGCCGACTTTGCGAATCCCCCAGCGCATTGTTGTACTCAGGACAATTGGAACACCAGCATAGCTTTGGCGTGAAAAGTACGATATAAATGAAAGCCAATAAGCTAAGGTGTTTAACGTGGGTGCCTTATATTAGGCTCCTAGGATCATATTTTGATACCTCAATAAATTGCTTGATTTTCAAAAGTGCTGGATACCCAGTTGCTCCCAATGACGTCAGCCGTTGAACAAAACTGAACATTTTAGCGATATCGTTTTGATGTCAATGAAAATATGTTTGAAAGAAACTGAATCCCTTTTGAATCAAAGCCTCTTGATTTTTTTCCTCAACTAATTTTCATTTCTAATTGTATATTTTTTCTTATTTTGAAAAATTACAAAAGATCGAAATCCAAGCAGAAATGTTTCCCGGGTATAGAAAGAAAATGGGTCAGCTGACCCCAAACAGGTTTCTTTTAGAATATTTTTCATCGGATGATTTTAGATGCTGGGGGGGTTGAAAAATATTTCATCCCAACTTGGGACATAGTCCCAACATTTTTCATGATAGAGAAAATCTGTTTTCGAACCAACTCTATGACTGCTTCCTCTTCCACTGCATGTGGCGTAATCTACCACCCTCACTGCATCCCACATGCTAGGTCCGGTCAGACTGTACAGAACCAAAGAAAGGTCGGCACCATTGATGCAGTTGGCCCATCATACACACTCATCACGAAGGAAGGAAGTCTAGAATACCCAGCAGCAAACCCTGATGTGCTAGCACTAAGAGGAACACCAGCAATTGGGCGCCAGCACTCTGGTGGAACAATGGAAACTCTCTTGTTGTTTTGGTTAGTATTTCATCCACCTGCACAGCCTAGTGATCCAGCACCTGTCCCCAGCCCGCTGCCTGGTTTTCACTATGCTGCATTTGACTGAGGCCCGAACCATGCAAGGCCCGATTTTGGGTGCTTTGGTTTCATGGGTGCCCAACCCCAGACATCCTGGGCCTGATTATGAATGCTGAGCACCCGCAGGCCCTTTTTGGACTTCATCTGAAAACGTATGGATCCATGTTGTATCTCCCAAAGTTACACAGGAAGTCAACAGCCCAGTCAGAATTAGTACCCAGAATCCTCTAGCCTACTGCACCTTTGCTCCACCTACTTGATAAGTCAGCCCCTCGTCTTTGAAAAGGCACCTGCTATAAGATTAGCCGGGGGACAATGGGCCGAGGTTGCACCCTCGATTTCTGGAAACCATGTGAGGTGCGTGTGGGATGGTATATGGGCAACAGGGTAACTGATGGAGGATACAGGGGATGGTGAGTAGCAGGTGAGCTACGTTGGATGCAGGATTGCTGATGGATAGTCTGTGGAACATTGAATAGCTTAGAGATGTTTTAAGCCTGAATTAATTAAGGTTCTTTGCAATTTTCATAACAAAATTTATTGTAGCAATTATTACACTTTATGTAGCGTTCCCTGTTAAAGACACTCTAATTTTCCTTTTAATAGTTGCTAATTATCCTTTCATCAAAGCCTTTAAGAAGTGCAGAGAGCATTAAACATGAACTGTAGCAGGGATGTCCTGACTGAAAGTGGGGGGGGAAGGGCCTGCGGAGGGACTCAAAATGATTAGAACTAGAGTCCTAGAAACCAACTCTGTATTTTTCAAATTTGATGCAAAGACCAGCCTTGTAGCCCTGTGTGCTCAGCCGGAACTCTGCACTCTGTTCTGGCTGATGGGGAATGGAAAATATCTCCAGCTACCAAGCCAGCTAACAGAAAGACAGGTAGCCAGCAAATGAGTGAATTCGCTCTGCTGTGCACTGGTGTATGCCAGGTGCACACATGGCCCAGACTACTAATTACCTACAACAGAATGCTCTTTGAAAGATCTGAAAGCTCAGGCTGGCAGTGGGGAGATGAGCGAGACAGAGGAGAGTTTCTCCTAAAGAGCCTGTGATGAGCCTCTGCACCGTATGGTACATTTCTGACTCCATCAAGGAGCAGTGTTTCTAGCAGATGTATAGACACAAAGCAGAGCTCTTGAACTTTCTCCAGAGTCCCACATGCAGGCCCGGTTGCCGGGAGGTGTGATTTGTAATCCTTTCTTCCAGTCCGGGATATGTCGAGGAAAGCTTGTCTCCTGGTGACTGAGAGGGAGGATTGGTTGCAAAGTAGGTGGTTCAAATCATGTCTGGAGAAGGCCACACAAGGCCAGGGCCTACCCATCTCATGAACAGAGCTGAAATTTTTCAGATGAATGATTCACTTATGGTATGGCTAGACTGCGGTGTGTGTGTGTGTGGAGGGGTGTTCTAGATACCGGAGGTATCCCAAAAAACTACACTGCATCCAGGGAATGCGTTTGCTCTTCCACTTTTTTTTGCAGAAGAACAAACGCACTCTTTCGGAAGCTCCCATATTCCTCATTCTACGAGGAAGAAGGGGGCTTCCGAAAGAGGGGGCTTTTTCCGACATTTGGCCTAGTCTAGATGGGCCAAATGTTGGAAAAGCCTCTTCCGACAAAAGAATCGGAAAAAGGTACGCAAAATGCGCTGCGCATTTTGCGTACCTTTTTCCGACAAAAGCTTGTATTCTAGACGTACCCTTACCAACAAAGTTGTTTCTGCTCAACCCAAGCTACCCATGAATTTGGATTGAATTCAATGAATAGTTTCAGCCAGGAAAAAAAAAAAGACAAAATTAAAGCAAAACTTTTTTGTTTCAACCTTTTCTAAGCTACGTGTTTCAACTTCTGGTTTCTTAATAATTTTGCTAGATTATTTGCCAAAGCAAACACAAACAAAAGGGAATCCCTACCCCAGATAAGTAACATGGAAAAATATAGGCATATTAAAAATCATTTCAGGCTGAACACAACTTTTCATTCAGCCTAAACAAATTCCTCTCACCTACATTTTTCTGATTTGGCCACTGAACCAAAATAAATCAATTATTCACTGAGCTCTGCTTAAAACACCCCGTCAGGAACCTGCCAGGGGTCAAGACTAGAGCTGGACAAAGCTTTAACTCTTGCTTCTATAATTTATTTGTGATGAGGCGCCTGCCCCACACTGGGCTATAAATGGTTAATAGAGCCTTAGAGAGTCTCTGCAGGAGGTAGTCAATCAGAGAAGGGGTGAGAGGAGCAGCCAATCAGGGCCTGGCAGGCCCATAAAAGATTAGCTGCAGGGCAAAGCAGCTCCAGTCACGCCTGGAGCTCAAGGAGGGTGAACTGGCTGCCTTACATTAGGGTTACATCTAAACTACACCCCTCTGTCGGCAGAGGGATGTAAATTAGACACCTCAAAAGTGCAAATCAAGCGGGGTGCTAGCATTTGAAAGAAAAGCTAAGTTACAGCAAAGTTTTGGTTCAGGCTGGGCTAGGATTCATTGCCTGAGCTCCAATCCAAACGCCACTTCAAACCATTGTTCCCCCAGCTATTTTTAGAGCATCTGCAGGAGTCCTGCTAGCTTGAGTCTATCAACCCAAGCTGGAAGGCTCACCTCTGCAGGCTCCAAAATGCTGTGTGGACGTACCCAAAGGGACCTGAGGCCCATTTCTGGTTCTGACAGGGAACATGGCCAGCTCAGACTTTATGGCAGACTGGCCCTTGGGACTTCCTTCAAATCCAAAACTCAGACCAAGGCTCAGGTGGGCTCCCATGCCTTGGGAGCTAAAATCAAAGGTGTGCACGAACTCCTGGCACAAGGAATCCACAGAACTTTACGTGGCTGCGTTGGGGGTCACATTGGCTGGTCTCAACACATTTAAAGAGCCAGAAAAACTAGACTCTGAGAGAATGAGAGAGGCCTTTTGTGTTACTGAACAAACTCTCCCAATGGTGCCAGATCAAAGACTCACCCAGGGAGAGGAACTGCAGGAGAGTCACTTCAATCGCTTTCAGAGCAGGCACTGAGCACAGAAGAACCAAAGACGACCCTTCCCTTGAAGCCTGCAGAGGCGCATCTTCTATAGCATGCTCTTGCTGAGTGTACTGCTTTCCAACACCACCCAGTGCAAACCCTAGAACCTCCGCTTAATTTACTAGGAGGAGCAGCTTAGAAAGTGACTCTGCGTGGTTCTCCTACCAGCCGTGCTTTCATGTTCACAGCGCCTGGCTGGAGAGAGACACTGCTTGGAGGAGGGGGTATCATCTATCTGGCCCCGTAGTTTGCGGCGGGCAGGCACCAATTAGCATTTGAACACAGAAATGCATTAGCAACAAAGTTTCCAGCAGCCTTATTGGGTTATTTTTAGCAGACAAGATCTCGGCAATGATTTGTATCAGCCAAAGAACGACCCAACGGGAGGGGCCCAAAGTCATGCTTTAGAACGCCACCTTCTGAGCCAGTGATAGACCAGCACGGAACAGCCAAGCAGCGCAAGTGCTCTTAACTTGCCTGACAGACACTGTACGGTCCCCTTGGCTGGGCGTGAAGGTAGGGAGGAAACTGGAGGGACTGGGGGAAGGTGTCAGCTGCCTCCGCTGAGGGAATATGCCCATTTCTCCCAGGCTAGAGCCCGTTGGATGCTCCCATGGCAGCCGTAGCCATGAATGCTTTTAACTTGTGTTTGCTCAAGAGGTGACAACCACTTCCTTTGGGTGCAGATGTGGCTCTGGTTCTGTGAGCCTTTGTCCTCGCCTGGTCGGACTGCCACAATGCGCCACAATGGCCTGAGAGACATGGCAGGTTCTGTTGGGCCTGCTCATTGGTACCAGCGCGTTGTTTGCAGAGAGCGTGTTATCCCTTTGCTCTGTGCGCTGGGCTCTTTTGGTTGCAACGTAGGAGTCCTTCAACGGGCTGGATCCGCGTTACTTTAGAAAACGCGCTTCCCCATCTGCTATCATGCCAGGCAGCATCTTCTAAGGGCCCTAGGTTAAAAGTGCATCCCAGCTGAGCCATGCCAAGGGAGGTGGTGGAATCTCCCTCTCTGGAGATATTTAAGAACAGGTTAGATAGACATCTGTCAGGGATGGTGTAGGTGGAGCTTGGTCCTGCCTTGAGGGCGGGGGGCTGGACTCGATGACCTCTTGAGGTCCCTTCCAATCCTATTATTCTATGATTCTATGATCTATACTGGCACCCTTTTCCGGAAATGCTTAAAACGGAACAGTTTTCCGTTATAAGCATTTTCGGAAAAAGCGTGTCTACATTGGCAGGATGAGGCACCCATCTTCCTCATCTACGTCAAGAGCGTAGCAAAAACATTTCCCTTCTCATAGAAACACCACAATGAGAGGGAGCTCCTAAGCCATCATGATTAGTCCACGGGCATCATGTGCAACCCATTCATGAATTTATCAAGGCCGTGTGGAACGACTTAAGTGTACAAAGTGCTTTCAGGGTTCCTAAGGAAAAGTACCCCCTACATGCAGAGGGTTCCTGTTACTAAATTGTAGCTCTTTGCTCTTATTTGGAGAAGGTTGTTTTACTAGCAAATATGAACAACTTATGTAGAGGAACCACTTGTCTTGGCTGCATTCAAAGGCCACCTTCCTAAGCCCCACCTGAGAGACCCCAAACCAGTTCCTCCCAACCCTTTCTGATAGAGGCTGCAAAATGGTTCAACTGAGAGAATCCAGCCAGATGTGAGGGTGTGCTAATCATTTTCAGACCAGTGCAAAGGAGCCCGATGGAACCCAAGAGGGATGGCCATTTAAATTCAAAACAATAGAGCTAGCGCCAATCCTAGACTTCAGCAAAGGCGTCTTCTCTCAAGTAGAGATTTGCCCTGAATTTCAGCGTCAAGTTTCTGATCTGAGCGTGATGGGGAGGAGTTGTGGAAGGATTAGGAGAAGCTTCATCACTAGGAGAGGAGCAAAGGCAATGAAACATGCTGCCCAGAAGGAGTTGGAAAATTGTCATTGCTGGAGATGGTCAAGGCAAGACTAGATCACCGCACCAAGAGGTGCTTAGGGAGAAGGAAATTGAAGCTTTAGCAATGCAGATGGAAGAGCAAGAAGCCCGATATCCCTTCTCCTTCCTGATACTGTGGAAGTTACGCAGCATTCCATGATGCTTGTGATATAATTTGTGTCCAAAAACCAAGGAGCTTTCTACCAGTGAGGACATGTGTCTGGAATCATGCATCGTGGCAGGAATTGGTACGTGTCTACAAGGCTCTCTGATGAGAAGCAGAATGCTAATGTTAGTTTTATCACCTCCCCCAGAAGAAACACTCCATCGTTGTATAACCTAATCACACACAGAAAAGAAACAGGGGGATGTTTAATGGAGGTATTTGTGATGTCTGGAAGGTTGCCTTCTTTGATATGAGTCCCACCTTCTAGTGCAGACAACAGCCAATGCGAGGGAATGACAGGGATGCAGGATGAAAATGATAAGTTTTTTTGTACTAGTTTAGGATCTTGCAAAACCATATCCCACTTATGATCACTGAATACCAATGCTTAGAAGGCACCTTGTTTAATGGACGTAAGGAAGGGAAAATCATGGCAGAATGTGAATCAGGCTGCCCTGATTATATATCTCCTCAATTCGACTTCAGCACAGGTTGCTACGGCAATAAACAGCAGAAAGCTGTTATCATCCAAAAACCTTTTGATGGTGCGTCTGGAACTAAATCTTCTAACATGAGGCTACCAAATATGCTGAAATATTTCTCCAAAATGTTGGAACAACCTAGATTTGTAAAGCTGGCCTGGGACTATTTCATGGAAAAGCTTTAGGCCCTTCTGCTTCCAGTCCTGGGCCAAACTGGGAAATAGGGAGGTGCATAGACAGTGTTAAGAGAAAACTGACTGGTGTTCAGTCTCAAGGCACAATCAATTCGGAGCCTGGGCAAAGATTAGGGTTGGTTCTTGTAGAAGCTGAACCTGCTTGCCAACCCGAGGGCCCTCGTCAGTGTGAACAGCGAAACTCCACATGCAGAGAATTTGCACTAAACCACCATGTGCTGTAAAACTAGGGATTTCGTGGAACAAAACCCTAAGTCCCAGCACCATCGACTGTAAAATCCTAACCCAGATCTCAGCATTGTAGCCTGGCCATGTGTTTATAACGGACCAAACCAAAAGCTGTCACCTTATCTCTCCCTGAACGTTGGGCTTATCTGTACTTAAATCCTATCAAAATAAGACTCAGAAGTTGCTCACTGGCTAGTCCTCTTTAAAGCAACCGTCCACAGATGGCCATGAATGCCAACTCTGCCTTCTCTTGGGGAACTTTCCAACCAACGGTGGGAACTCCCACCTTAGAGCAATCCCCAAGGGTCTCATAGACAACCCATTGGCCAGCCAGCTTTTCTTTATTGGGGCCGCCAAAGTTCTTTCATGCTGGAGCCAGTTTGGCCACAGTGCATGGCCTGCCCATACTAGTCCTCCCTGGTAGTTTGCTCATTCCCTGGAAGGGGCATCTCTGAGGGAGGAGTGACACGGAAGTGCAAGGTTTTGCTAAAAGCCCCTGATGCCTTAGAACTTGACATGGATGTATCCCTTGGAATTGACAGCAATGGCATAATTCACAACTGCGTGGGGCTGGAAGCAGCCTGTGGGCCGTCCATGTTTCCAGCTCTTATTCTTTGGCCCTGCACAAAGGGCCGTGGCTTTCCCCTGTAGTCTTCCCATAACATCACCTCCCTGCCATGGAAGGTCACTCAGGAAAACTTCCCGACTGCTAGAACAGTAGGACAATGGGGCAGGCTCTCTAGGGGAGGTGTTCACTGCATATACACCTGTCTGGGATGGTTTAAACACAGGGGATGCGTCTAGACTGGCAAGCTTTTCCGCAAAAGCAGCTGCTTTTGCGGAAAAACTTGCCAGCTGTCTACACTGGCCGCTTGAATTTCTGCAAGAACACTGACGATCTCATGTAAGATTGTCAGTGTTCTTGAAGAAATGCTATGCTGCTCCCGTTCAGGCAAAAGCCCTCTTGTGCAAATGCTTTTGTGCAAGAGGGCCAGTGTAGACAACGCGGTATTGTTTTGCGCAAAAAAGCCCCGATGGTGAAAATGGCGATCGGGGCTTTCTTGCGCAAAACCGTGTCTAGATTGGCATGAATGCTTTTCCACAAAAAGTGCTTTTGCGGAAAAGTGTCCGTGCCAATCTAGACGCTCTTTTCCGCAAATACTTTTAACGGAAAAACTTTTCCGTTAAAAGCATTTGCGGAAAATCATGCCAGCCTAGATGTAGCCAGGGTGTTAGGCTGGCTGACCATTGCACCCTTCTACGCCTATGATTCTACACCACTGCACGACAGGTCGCTGCCACGAGGGACTTTAATGGAGCCTCTATCCTGAGGTCAGAGTCCTTCAGCACCATCAATGTCCCATGCCGTCTGGGGGTGCCACGGCCGCCACGGCGTAAGTCCAAACATCACAACTTGTGGTCTCCGCTCCTGCCTTAGGACCAGGGATCTGACCCACCCCACTGCACCCTCTCTCTGTGCCCCGGCCCTTGCTGTAAAGGTGTTAGAGGTTCTATTTACTAGGCACAGACCGAGGGACACCACAGATACACACTGAACCACGCACTCTCCCAAGCCACGGGGAACAGAATGTGGAACCTCAGCACCACAGACTGTCGCCAAATGCAGTAGAGGAGAGTGACTATTCCACAGGCAACATGCATGTGCACGCATGCACGCGTGCACACCAGTATAGCGAGTTTGAGGGAGGAGTGACACAGAAGTGCAAGGTTTCGCTAAAAGCCCCTACGTTTTCCTCTACCCCCGACCTCATCATAGTGCTTGGAGCAGGAAGCCAGGAGCTCCCAAGGCTGAACGACTAACCTTGCTCTCCATTGGTGGAGGCTCCTTCTCCTTCTCCGCGTGCTGCAGCTTCCTGTTCAGGTCCTGGAACATGTCCTGGTGACGCTTTCTCGTGTGCATGATTTTCTGAAGCAAAGACGCGTGCGACAGGTCAGCAAACCTTTCTCCCCTGAAGGTAGAGTCCGTACTGCCCTCACCAATTAGGAAACTGCCGAAGTGGGCACGTTAGGTGCCCAAATCCCTTTGAGGATCTGGGCCCCAGGGAGTATAAATCTAGATCTGGCTCCAGGAAAAATCCAGCCTATACAACGTCAGCTGAGTCTTGCGTGGTTACAGGATTTGTGACAAATCTAAATCTCAGCCTCAAAGCTCACCCAGGGTAGCCAAGCTGTGGATAAAGTGTGAGACCTAACTCCAAATCTAGCCCTAAATGTGAGGGTCAGAATTTGGGGCTACACAGTGTCCCAATTTCACACTGAGCCCAGGGTCCTAAGTCTTGGAGCAAACCTCATAGCCCAAGGTTTGAGGCAGAGAGGGGGTTGTGGGGCTGACGCCTGATTTTGGAACGAAGTGGCTCACTGTGAAGGAAAAGGATGGTTTCAACGGTCCTTCCTCTTCAAAGTGACTGCTTCGTGGCATTGCTGTAGGATGCAGGCAACCTGGTTCTGCCAGACCTTCCTCTTTAAAGCAACAGCTTCCCCCTTCTGTGCCTCAGTTTCCCCCCGCTGTACAACGTGGAGGATAATTCCTCATCTCCGAGGGGCTTTGGTGAAGGGACCCCACAGAATGGTGAGGGGGGGGCCATGGGAGCAGGTTTCCTGTTTGGGGGCCGAGCAGCTGTGCTGCTGTAGGGTTTTATCCAGGACGCTCCTAGCTTCTCCTGTCGTCATCATTAACCCACCTCCTTGAGAGATGAGAAACTCTCCTGCCGACGCAGCACCATGTACCCCAGGGTGAGGTCATGAGAACTACGTCGCTCAGGGGTGTGGACTTTTCACGCCCCTCCGTGAAGTAGCCAGCCCATGGAAGTGTATAGTGTAAACTGGGCCTAAAACTGAGGACATTGGAATCCTTCTCCCACGGGCTGGAAAGTGGGCCAGACTCCAGATGCTGCTATACGGTAGGATCGGCTTTCTATTAGCCTCTCCCGGGCCGAGGAGACTGTGTACGGGCCTTGTGCAAGCTGACTTAAAACTTTGATTGACAAACATTTCCTCAGCCGCTGCTGCCCGCTGAATGAAGCCGTGCCAAACAAGCGTCAACCCATCTATTAGGTACACAGGGAGAATATCCTTGTTCAGCCAGGCTGGCTCCAGCCGCCTGTCCGTTTCTAGCCCTTTTCCCCCGCTTCTTTGGTCTCCTGCAGCAGCTGCAGCCAGGGGAGCTGCCCCCGGAAAAGCAGAGCCCAGTCCTCTCCCCGCCCTGTCACCCCTCCGTACCAGGGTCTAAAGGAGGAAACGCTCACCTCAAAATCGTACACAGGGAGAATATCCTTGTTCAGCCAGGCTGGCTCCAGCCGCCTGTCCGTTTCTAGCCCTTTTCCCCCGCTTCTTTGGTCTCCTGCAGCAGCTGCAGCCAGGGGAGCTGCCCCCGGAAAAGCAGAGCCCAGTCCTCTCCCCGCCCTGTCACCCCTCCGTACCAGGGTCTAAAGGAGGAAACGCTCACCTCAAAATCTAGCTCTGCGTACCGGGATTTCCGTCGCTGCAGATTCAAAGGGAAA